ATCAATGGTATCCGTTTTCAGCTTTAGCTCAAGACGTGTGGAACAGCGCAGCCCTGCCCACCATGTGTTTGATGTCAAGCAGAACATAGCTACCTGTGCCACAACTCTGTCAAAGGGACAACCAAATGCGTATGATTGAATGTGGGACACTTAAACCACCCTTTCGCGCATGCGGTCACAGAACAGCCATCGGCCTCAGAGCCCAGGGCCGTCCTTACTGGATTTGAAGGACTGCACTGGGACAGACGCAACAAAAAACTCTAAAATCAGAAGGGCCACAGTCTCTCAGGGTTTCCGCAATTTTCGTATCTTTGTTCTGTGCATGTTTTAGAGTTTTCAGCTTTGAAGCTGCATTTGCACTTGTCACTGTGCGGCTTTCTGCTTTCACAGTGGAAACTCTCAACATGTGGGGTGCGAGCGGTTGGCTGGACTTTCACCCTGCCAACCAGAAGGCATACATGCAAGTTGCTGATTCGCACGTACGATGTTACGTGTTCACTTCTCCCCCTCCACCAACAACGAGGAATCACTGTGTGTGTTTCCTGTAAGGTGGGCCTGGGGTGGGGGTTGAGGATAGATCTGTATATATATATATAATATATGTACAACATAATTATGTGTCTTCATGCAAGAATACACCAACAGTCCATGGTTTTGGCCACGATGCGAAGAGTTTAGGCAGTCCCAAGCATAAGTGGGCGCAGGAACGAGCCCTCAGTCAAGATGATTCTGGCTAGACGGGGTTAACACTGAGAGGGTAAACCAAACGGTAAGACCGCGACCCCAAACATATTGTGCTGGGCTGGAAAAAAACGGGCAGAAGCGAGATCTAGTCCAAAACCAGCTCTCGGATAGAAGGTTTCCACACTAAGAGGGGGCCAACTTGAGCTTCAACCAAAACGGAGGTATGAAAAGGCAAGCCCGTCTGAGAACCGGGCTAGATGTAAGGAGCTCCCTACCTCACAAGCCTAGGCAGGCGGATTCACTCAAACATGTTGGTTGTTTCTCAAAGCCTTTTATGGAAATTAGCCATCAACTTGTGAGTCAAATAGGATTGGGCCCCCCTTTTAGATCTGGGAGCCAAGCAGATCATACTCAAAGCGAAACCCGAAAAAGAGACCCGGATGGGATGATGCTTTTCACTTGCAAGGAACCCAAAGGGGGGATGGGTCTGTGTTCAATGTTTGCGGGGATGATTGCTCTAATCCATGCTTCCCCCAGCCTCGCTTTCGCACTCGGCAGGATGCCCGACAGCTGCTCCAGGAGATGCGGTCGGAGCTGTGAAAGTTCGCCCGCAGCCTGGCTCCCGAACAGATTGCAAACCGAAGGTTTTCTTTTTTGTTTCCCAAATAAGGGCGGCCCTAAAGGAAACGGGGCAAATGGCTTGGTCTCTTTGAGGTGCGTAGTTGGTTTCCCAAACGGGTGCCTCGCCAAGGGGCAAATAAGGGAGGCCTACACAGGCTTGGATTCCTTTGGTTTCGGCCCCATTTGTTTTTGCGTGGTTTTTTGAGGGTGACCTTTTGAGGTGGTTCAAAGGGAAGCCAACAGGAGGCCGACTATTTTCAGGGTACCCCTACTGTTGTCTAGATGCCCCTGCCTGATTTTGCTTCCACTGCATGGGATTGCTCCACTGTCCTCCCCACCCACAGGTCTCTCGCAGCTCAAAACGCAGAGCGGCCAAATTCTGGCATGCTCGCATCGCTTTTAGCACAAAAAGGCTTTGGCGCAGCTCGGAATGCGGGTGCTTGGTGGTGTAGGGCGTTCACATGTGTTTGAACCCTCAGAGACAGAAGCCGGCAAGTGTTGTGTGAGACCAGAAAAGCGGTCAGCATGTGGTCAGTAACCCTGACTGAACACCCTGTAGCCTCACAGTTCTCGTTTTTGGTGGTTTCCTTATCACATGTTGTCCCAATGTTGGTGAGTTGGTGGGGTGATGATGATGTTTAGGGGGGAGCCATGCGAAACCGAAGGGGAAGCCAAAGCATTGCAATTTGTGTGGGTGTGTCGACACTTGTTCTCTCCAAGGCCTGTTGTTTGACTGTGCCACTGGCAACCGAAACCTGGGTTGGGGCAAATAGGGCCCCTCTGAGGGGCGCCTGGCGTGAACATCGGTGATATCTGCTCTTGAATCTGTGGACCGTGTGTTTTGACAGTCCTTATTGCACTGTCTGACCCCAGTGAAAAGGCCACCCTTGGCCAGACTTGACACCAGGCTTGAATTTGACTCGCCTGTTTCTTGACAGGCAAACAAAACAACCGAAAGGAGTCACTTCCGTACTTCCACAGTTTGTGGAACTTGTCACTTTTGGGAAGACATGCTGATTGGAGTTGGGAACACAAAGTAGTGGACTTGTTCTTGGTCGCTCGTTCGCTTGACCTTAGAGTTTGTCACTTTTTGGACAATGACTTTTGTTGCACGAAGCAACTGTTTGTGAGGGGCCAGTTTGGCCAACCCAGCACAAGGATCTCTGGCGTTGACAGACACTTGTTCATTTCTTGCCAGGTGATTCGTCCACGCTTGCATGCCACAAGGTGTAAGGAGCTGCATTCGCGAGCTGTGACTTAAAGCACCAGCGATGGTCCCGTCTATCGAAGCCCAGCGTACCCACTCAGCTTCCTTCGGCGTTTCGAAACGCCAGGCGATGGCCCCCATTTACCAGGAAGCGCCCTCCCCGATGCTGTGCAAGGCAGATCAACGGGAGTGTCATTTTCTTGCGGCGGTAAACTTGCCCAAGAATCATAGGGAGGGCGGCTACGGACTCCCTTTTTGGTTCCCCTTTGCACACCATCCGACCCCTATCTTCGCAAGCACTAGGTCCCCATGTCTGGAGGTCCGAACCGTAGGTCCATCGATGTCTTTTGAAGGGAAAGGGAACGTGGCTTTACGACGCGTGCCACGTGGCATTGTGAACTGCACACTTCGAGGAACAAAGCAGACTGTATTTGTCGGGTGAACTTCGGGCCAGTCAAATCCGGACAACCATACAAATCAGGTGCGGCTAGCAGTGAACACCCTTGTAGGCGTTGAACGGCACTCATTGTAGTGGGATTCCTCCGACTAGCATGGACATGCGGATGAGTCCGAGGTTGACCATTAATTATGTAATTGCTAGGGGCCTCAACATCAGACAAGCACCAGCACACGCGCTGCGGGTTGCTCTTGAGTTGATATGGCCTAGTGCTAGATCCTGCGACTTTCGTTCCAGTTATGCTTGTGAAACGAGTCGCCAGTTCTTTATTCTATGGGTGACTTTACCGGCTCTTTGGATCCTTAATAATTAGAAATCAGCAAGAGACCATGTTCCACGAAGGTCCAGCAGCGGTTTCGCCAGAAGCCTCATGCAATATTTTGGTAAGACTAGCTAGGGGTTCCGGGTAGTATCCTTAGATTCTTTTTGACCAGAAACACCCAAAAGAAGGGGGGCCCTAAGTTTTAGAAGCACCCATTTTCACCATTTCGGTATCATCAAGCACCAAACTCAGCCCATTCAAGTGAACATGTTGCGGTTGTGTTCTCAGGATTACTTTAAGGGTTGTTCCCTTCAAGCCACCATGATGAACGTTTTGCAGATCTCACTTTTTAATGCACCCCAGGGTAAATGGGGAGCTTCCTCCGAAATGGCTGCCACATTTCCCAAGGCCGTTGCTCTTCAGGCGGGGGCGCTTTACGCGTCGGCGGCCACGCTGCCTCACGCGTCGCCTGGCATGCAGGCGGGCGCTGCGCGGCGTAGGTGGGGCGGGCGCCATGGGGCGGTTTCAATTTGGGTCTCATCTTGTAGGCCATTTTCCACGGTCATCAGACTCACTCCACATCACTCCACAAGTTTCTGGATAGAGGAACTAGTGCAAGTTTCGGGACTTTGCTCTGTTTTTACTACTCATGGAAGCTGACAGCAGGGATTTGGAAGATTAGTGTTCTCTTGAGAAGGCCGGCAGCTGGTTGGAAAGAGGGTATACATTTTGGGGTTCAAACAGGTTTGGTTACATTTTAGGCAGATCGGAAGGTGGGCAATTGGCGGCCTTTTGATCTTGGAACCCAACATGACACCGACTCGATGAGGTCCCAAATTTTGTCATGCCCATCTCATTAAATTCCCCTAGCAAGAAATGGCAGATAGGTCCCAGCTCCTTGAGATACAAACGACATGTTCCTCGCAAATTGGTATGAATGCTAGCCAGCAAACTGGCACAGCCTGCCTGCTTTCCTGCCTTCAAGAGCCAAAGCCTTGTGCGCTGCCTTTTGGTTGACCGCTTCGCGGCGTCCCGACGAGTACCCCAGACCCGGCAGGTGACGTCTCCAATGCCGCAACCCGTGCATGCGGGAAGCCCGCACATGGTGCACGCCGCGCCGACGCCGGCGCCGGCGCCGCCGACCCTTGCGGCACAGGGGACGCTCGGGGTCCCGGACGGTTCCTATCCAGGTCGCCTGAAGAACGCTTTGACCCCTGGATCTCTAAACCCTGGAGAACTGACTAGCATGAGGGTCCCGTGGTTGCCTTCTGGCGAAGAAAACTAGCCAGAACCGGTTAGCATCAGCGGCCGTTTAGTACTTGGATGCTTTATTCCGTGAACATTTTCTGAGCGCCGTGCTGGTCAGGGGTCAACATCGGTTGCTGGAACAGAGGAACCCATTTTCTACTTTGCAGTGACAATTCCTTTTTATAGGGCGAGGTCACAGGGATGGTCCAGTCGATGTCACAAGCCATGATTTTCCACCGCCACCCTTAGATTCTTGTGCATGTTAGTGGTTGGCACCGGTGACATGTGATCGTCTGAGCATGTGACTGCACTTGGCCGGAGTGTTTCGTGCCTAGAATGCATTGCCACGTTTTTTTTTTGTAATAAACTAGTAGGACTCTTCCACCAGATAGGCAATATGAGTTCCACTACCTGGGTGTGTCATTCTTAGGGACCCCTCTAACATGGCGTCGGTCCTCCAACGGGCACCGGGCTCCCTGAGGCGCCCGCGGCTTGGCGTCGCCAGGGTGCGCCGGGTTTTGGTGAGGGGGCGGGGGCGGGAGTGCCTTGGTGCTTCGAGCTTTGGTTATATAGAATATGGTGTATACACATGTGCATATATCTACACTGTGTATTATTATATCTACACTGTGTATTCTTATATGTACACTGTGTATTCTTATATGTACACTGTGTATTCTTATATGTACACTGTGTATTCTTATATGTACAATGTGTATGTATATATGTTCCAGGCCGTGGACCCCCCCCCCCCCACCGCCCCCCAACCCCCCCCCCCCTGTGGGGGGTGGGGTGGGTGGTGGGGTGGTGGGGTGGTGGGGTGGTGGGGTGGTGGGGTGGTGGGGTGGTGGGGTGGTGGGGTGGTGGGGTGGGGGGTGGTGGGGTGGTTGGGTGGTTGGGGTGTGGTTGGGTGGTTGGGGTGTGGTTCGGAGTTGGTTTAGGCTTGGTGGGTTGGTTTAGGGTTGGTTCAGGGTTGGTTTGCGGTGGGTTTCGGGTGGGTTTGGGGTTTGGGTTGATTTAGGCTTAGGGTTGGGGTTAAGGAGGGGTTGCAGGGTTAGGGTAGGATGTTGCGAGACGTGCGGGGTCTGGGACCGAAGCTGCAGGGCTCACACGGTACTGGACAGCATCCCCAGCATTGCCAGCATCATCCCCAAGATGCGGATGATGCGGGGGAGGGACCATACCATTGGGGGGGAGGGGGGGGGGGGGGATACGTGGCCCAGGGACTGGTACATATATATATATATATATATTTGTATATGGGTCTGTTTTTTTGAGGATACCGGTTTGTCTGGTGGCTTTAAAGGACAGCCAAAAGAAACACCACCATTTGAGGGGTCCTCGAAGCAAACACATAGAACAATATACACATAACCGTTTGCAAAGTCATATTCACACATGTGTGCTATGTTCAAACCACCTGTTTGCTGGTTGGTAGGTATGGTGATGGACCTCGGAAAAGATAGTTTAGGCATGATGCGACTTCCCACCAAGGGAATCATGCCCCACACATACTGAGCTTTGACCATTGCCTAATACCCATTCAGGGCCCAATCAGGGGACCTTTTGCACGACGGGAGACCAAAAGGAAGCGAAGGGGTGAATTTGTTGAACGAGGCCCAAAGGAAAACCTGGGGACCGAGACATAGGCTCTGCCATTCCTGTTTTAGGATCAATTTGAATGGGGCTCTGCCAATCCTTTGGGGGATTCAATCAAAGGGACCCGGACCCAATGGAACCCCACCATTGAGCCAATTTGGAGTTAGAGCTAGGCGTCGTATTGGTCGGTGGAACCAACTTTCTCGGTGCAAGTGTGGCCGGCAGAAACAAGTCTGGGAGGAGAAGCCATGCCGTTATGCGCTTGCGAGCTGGCCGGCAGATTGGACCTACACTCGGTGGCGCTGGCAGAGCCGAGGCTTCCCGCGGCACTTTGCAGAACTCTGCGCATCTGTCAAGCACTGGACAACTGCACAGAGGTATCCTTGGAGCAAGGACAATCCGCGGAGCAGCCACGTGCAGCGCTGCAACTTGGCGCAAGCGCGACTTCTCTTCGAGGAGCAGGCCAGAGCACGCCAGCCTCAAGGAGCCTCTTAGTTGTCAATGAGTCGGTTTGAGAAATGTTGCGTCCTTTGCCATGCTATGAGTTCCCTTTGACCCTTTGCAAAGAGCATCCTTGTCACTAGCCAAGTTTTGGTGCCCCGGTTCTACTTAGCAGCCCTTGGACATTCATCCCGGGGGATAGAAGAAGGATGAAATCCTCAAGGGAAAGGGGATAAAGATACTCACCAAGGTGCATTGAAAGTGTTTCCTTGGTTGCTCTTTGGATTGGCCTTTTGGCCGTTTGGACGACGACGAACATTCCCAGGCGAACCAGCATTTGGAGCCTCTTGCTTGGTACAAGGGCGTCCCGTTTTTTTGCAGAGTCCAATCCTTCACATAAAGTGACTCATCGATGACATTGAGTAATTCACACACTCCCATCACAAGCGGAATCACACACTCCCCGTTGAGTAATTCACACACTCCCGTTTTGAGTGCCACACTCCCCGAATCCGCCCGATGGCCTCGACGTCACGGTTTCGTCGCATGCGCCAGATGGTATCACCCATGGGCCGGGCCATGAGCACCAGCGCTCTGCATGCGCAGGCGCGCGGGAACCGCAGCGCGGGGCTCCGGCGTTGAAATTGTCTCGCTCGCTCGCGGCGAGGTCTCGGGAGACCTAAGAAAAAGTCATGGGTTGAGACCAGGGCTTGGTGTTTATAGGGGAGTCATCAATCATAGGGTTCTGAACGGTGCGAACGGATTTTGTGAATCCTCAGAATGGCACATGCTGGCTCCTTTTGTTTGAGACCTAGGTTGCGCAGGTCTTTGTTCATTGCCAAGGTGTCATTTTGGGTGCTTCAATTCGAGCCACAGCCATTGCCTCCCTTGGAGATGTGAGTTTTGTCATCCATTCCCCAATCTTGCCTACATTACGCCCCAATAGACTTGGATAGGGGGTAGGTTGATTGGAGGGATTGAACCGTTAGTTCCTCTTGAAACAAAATGGGAAGGTACACTCCGACCTGCAAACCGCCAATCCAAACCACCAACTAAGGCGAGTTCAGGATGAGCCTTGACCCGAGTGTTCAAATTCCTCCCTCTAATGACTCTAATGACTCTAATGATCATGGTAGGGAATGAAGTAGTCACCTGAGCCTTCTGTTCTTGTCATCCTTTTTCAGGCTGTGGGCTTTTCAGCTTTCCTTGTAGGGGTTCCTCAAGCTGGAACATTTGAGAAATCCCAAAGGTGGCAATTTCCTCGAAATCACAACTCATTGCGACAACTCGAGTGACTGCTCCCACGAAGGAATGTTCTGAAGAGTACGACTAGGATGGGAGCTTCTTGGAAGGTAGCCCTTATGGCATACCTTTGGTATACTTGGGAATGTTCCCTATCATTATGCTGTGCTTTCCTTTGTGTAATAGAACACATACATGCATAGATTATGGAGAACAGTTAAGATAATGTAACGAGCATGAACATACGAGTCGGATAGAAAATGACCTTTTAACACGTATGACAACTGTTTAATAGGTCCACCAGAGTTTGGAAATGCACTCAAGCAATTTGATGGCAAACCGATTAAACTACGTCAGGTTTAGGGGTTTAGGGTGCATGTTCAACGGTCAAGGGAAAGGAACAGGATTGCCACGTGCTCCCGCACGCAGTCGCCCAGTGCGCTGCACCCTTTGATTTTAGGGTTTCCGAATGAATCAACAAGAAGGGAGCTTTCTGGGTTGTCTTTTTGACGTGCTCCATTGAGCTTCGCACCAAAAGCGGGGCACGCCCAGAGACACCCCCAATTGGAGCACCCTAAGAAGGTTCCTTCAGACTTTCCGGAACAAAACGGGGAGGGGTCTTTGGTTTTTGCCCTCAATGCTTTCGATCTCGCACATTGGAACAGGACGTAGGACGTCCATGCGATCCCGACATGGGCCGATGGCACTGGGTCAACACTTAGAAACATCTTCTATACTGCCCTTCCCCAAACGGATTAATGTAGATTATGTGAGTCCCGTGGGTTGATTGTTGAACGACTCAATCACGGTGACCAAGATGAGATTCCCTGTTGCTTTCAGCAACTCTATGACATATGTTGTTGCAGTCCTAAGTGTTTTTTTTGTGGAGGACACGGGGGGGGGGGGGCTCATGTTCTGCAGGGTTTGTACAAAGTCGAGGCTACCCTCATGAACTCTTCGACAGGTCCGGCACTTCCCGGGTGCGGCCCACGCCTGCCCGGCCAGGTTTGTTCTTGGTTTGACCTTGAGGGCTTACATTCATTGGGTTCGACCTTTCGTGGTTGTCACATCCCGGTATATAGATCGGTTGCTCTTTGGTTAGACCGATAACCTATCAGCCTTTTAGACAACCCTCTAACAAGCAAACGAGGAATCAAATACCAGCCTAGCAAGGCCACACACACTCACACGCACTTAGACACCCGAGAGAGGGTGCCAATTGAGTTCGAGGTGTCAAGCGTGCAGTTAGATGCAAGTGGCGTGCTTCGAGTAAGTCGGGCAGAAGCTTCCGCATGAGGCGCGGGTGACCGCAGCTCAAAGAGTTTGCGACATGTAGTCCACCGCTCACGTCAAACGTGCGTTCGAGAGAGAGGGCAGAGAGTAAGAGAGAGCAAGAGAGAGAAAGAGAAAGAGAAAGAGAGAGAGAGAGAGAGAGAAATAAAGAGAGAGAGAGAGAGAAAGAGAAAGAGAAAGAGAGAGAGAGAGAGAGATAAAGAGAGAGAGAGAGAGAGAGAGAGAGGGGGAGGGAGAGGGAAAGAGAGAAAGGAAGATCTCTTTCCCAGGACAACCGCACAGCATCCCACCGCTTTGTGGGTCCGTTTGTCACTTGAAGAAGCAACTCGGTTTGCCAGTGGCAAACAAGTAGTGCGTAGTTGATCTTTCAACTTTTTGGAATGCGATGCAAACGCCCTGAAAGGATTTTTTCTGAGGCTCCAACGTTCATGGAAACTGACTGTCAGCTTCCAGCGGGCAACCCTCATACAGATTCCTATCAGGGCCTTCGCGTTGCTTCGGTTCAATCTGTCCACTCCCATGCCGTGTGGAAGTAGGTTTGAGTGTTGGAATGATGTCTGACAGCGTCCCGAAAAAAAAATACAGGACTACCTGTATGGGGTGTTTCTAAAAATACCACACCCCATGAAGCTAGTTTATTTATTTCTTTTTAAGCATCATCCAATCAAGAGCCCCTGGCGTTTCGGGCAGTTGTTTCTTATCGTTTTTCTTGTAGCTCCTGCCTCGGCAGGAAGAGCGCTGCAAACGAGTATGCCCCATGCCAGCTTATTGCGCAGAAGAGCTTGTCGCACAAGTGCCACAAAGAAGGGGGCTTGCAGATCTTGGTGATCAACGGTCGAGGCAATGTTATCCCTGGCGAAGTACTTCAGCCAACAGCTACTCTAGTGATCAAGACCCATTGTTTATCCTGTCTTGGTCCCTCCTGTAAAAGGCAACGCTGCATTACCTCGCAATGCACACGCCTCCGTGAAGAAAAGGCCGTAATTTGGGTAGGGCCAGAAAACAAGACAACGACATCTACAGTAAATTATTGCAGTCGAAAGAACGACATGGAGCAACTTGCCATTGCAAATTCCAACCTCTCATGTCAAGCTCGAGCGATAGCGCCGAACCAGTTTTCCTATATCATTGTCCGTTTGGCTTCGTCTGGGCGTCATGTTTAGTTTGCCATTTGATCTTGAGTTGCTTGCTGGCGGGACAAATAAAGAACCCGGTTAAAGGCAAAACAACAGAACAGCCACATTTATGTTTAGGACACGCAAAAGAGAAACCAAAGGGAAACCAAAGGCAAAGGGAAACCAGCAGGACCCGCGTCAGCCAGGCTCCGGTGCAGACGGTGCCTGCTTGTGCCTGGAAGTGAAGGCTTGGGCTGTAAAGTCAATGGCTAATGGTTGCGAATAGTTTGCTCCTATCATCATGACCAGGTTTAGTCTTGAAGTCACCCACAAACCCTTCTTCTAAATATTGACCCTAAGGGCACTGTATCCAAAATGAACAAAACACACCTGCCAGCCATATGTTGTTGTTTTTTTTGACAGGAACACCACCATTGTTGATGGTTAGCCCTTGTAGGACCCATTTGCAACCACTGTGTTTTTGGGGTGTGTCCGTTATGGGGCTGTAATTCGAACCTGCGATTTGGTCCACAGGTTGCAGGAACTTTTAGGTGCACACCAGACAGGTGCCATTCATAAGCCTGTTGAGCCTCATGGTATCTTCTGGAGTCTGGGAACAGGGCTCCCAGGTATATAAAGGTACCCAGCTCTGCAGAGCTCCTGATGCTTTCTCGAAAAACATTCTTGGGGGATGGATATGGGGTTGAATATAAGGATTCCTAGTGTCGGAGCGATGGCAAAAGCCCACATAGGAAGCTTTTGACCATGGCACATGCGGATGTGTTTTTTTGAGGGTCGCATATGGGTCGTTCTTAAGGGGAGCCAAAGGGAAGCCACCCATTAGGTATCTCCGCTTCAAGGCCAATCCCTATGCTCCACTCCAGGGACGAGCGTGGCATTCACCGAGCAGATGGATGAGCCGCGCATGTCTAAGAGCACTCCGCGGGCGTCTGGCTGCGGTTTTAGATGTTGACTTTAGGGATTTCGAGCTTTCATTCAACGACGGGAATGGGTCACCTATGTTTGTTTCCTTTTGGTTGGCAGCGCGGTCCAGTCATCCTGGTTGTATATACATATAGACACGTTGACATGAGCATATAATACATGCATGTGCTTTCAGAAAATTGAAAGAGCCGCCTAAACGATGGGCAAAGCTTGCGTTGCCTGCCGAATGGCACTTGTTTTGCTCATTCGGTTTCACATGCCGGGACGCAGAGGGTGCAAGCCATCCCTAATAGGGTGGCTGAGTGTGCAAGGGGCCCGCCCCCACTGTGTCCGGAAAAGCCATCGGGTTTGTCAACAAAAGGTAGAGCATCATCCACTTGAACGCATGGGGATATATTATCGCTGAATCAGCATTCAGCAAAAGGGAACTTGATCGATCAGTGCGTCGCGAGGTATTTGCTTATGCCAAAGCTCAGCTGGTGTCAGGCGTGTTTGCATGCCTCCGCAGAGTTGTTTGCTTAGGGGAGATTCCACAGAGTCAATTGGCTCAGTGAGCCGTTCTTGTATTTATGTGCGGGTCAGCGTTTTGTTTCTCATCGCTACCAGCAAAGCCATGGCTTCAAAAGTCCTCGTAATCAGTGCCGTCCCTAAATTTTTGTTGGCCACGTTTCCTCGCCCCGATGTTTGGTAAATTCTTGCAAGGCCAGGGCTAACCTGTGCAAGATTCCGTCTACCCGCCTTGAACAATCTGGATTCCAGGCGCTGCGGAGTAATTCGCCAGGGCCAATGAAGCAAGCCGACCGGTAGCTGGGCGCCGGGGAATAAGACGAGGTCGGGTGTGTTCAGCCTGGATTCGTGGCTTCCCTTTGGTCTTTCTGTAAGACAACTCACAAAAGCCCATAAGACAACCTTCAACAAAAGGCGCCCATTGTATTTACTGCCCCCTAAATGCACAGAACAGGCAACGTACAGAGCAGGGGCCACTTTGACTTTGGATGTGCACATGGGCTTGCTGGACATGAAACCCCTATGTAAATGATGTCCACCAAACGCCAGTCCCAAATAAACAGCATACCCGTAGCAAGTTCTGCCTCACTTGCGCCCGGCAGACCTGCGCGGATTCAGCCGGGCGTCGTAAACGACCTCAGGCGCCTGAGGTCTCACACGAGCGCAGCCCTTGCAAACATTTGTTTTCAAGGGCCACAGTGAGCAGTGGTGTCTTAGGTTGGTTTGGTTAGACATAGATGATCGCTGTTTAGAGGGGTTGAATGCCCCAGTTAGCGTGGAATCCCAGGTATTTTCCCAAAAAGCTCCACCTATGACGGTGAGGTCGGCTGTCTCAGTCCGCCTTCCTGGCACTCCAGCGGCGGGGACACTTTGGACCCCGACATCTGCCCCGATAGCCGCTTCGGCTGACGTATCACCAGGGGGCTTTGTATCATGAGGAGCTCGCAATGGACAGAGAGAGAGATCCACCAGTCAGGTATGCATGTTGGCGATATGGAGCTTTTATACTGCTCTAGAAGCCAGCATGGAACTCAATACCTCCAAAGCCCAGAACTTTGAATTCTGTTGAAGAGAGAGAGAGAGAGAGAGAGAGAGACAGGTGGAAATCTTCCAAAAGGAGATGATACAATTGCCCTTTCAATCCACATTGGGTTTGCCTCCAAATGGTGGTACCCCGAAAATGTGATCTTCCCAAGCAGCACATAGATTAGAGAGAGAAAGTTCGCAGGTTTGTCAAACTGTGCGTGTCAGTGCACCCACCCAGCCCGCCCTCCCGCCCGCCCGCCCAGCCGGCAGAAGGTTCCCTTGAGAGGAACTCTGGCATACACCAGTTTCCATGTCAGTAGCAGGGATCAATTTGGGTCCTGCAATTGGGAACCTTCACTGGTTGGTGGGGCCTTTGTCGTTTTGACCCGTCGATGGGTATTGTGACCTGCTCGATTTGACAACGAAGGATTTCCCGCTTAGTTCATTTCAACCATTGAAGACAACTCCACGTTTGTTGCATGGCACCAATTTTCTCATTCCTTGGGCGTAGCATCTGAAGGGGGAATATGAAGTCAACTGTCCCCATGTTCGTGCATGTTCGTGCCTCCGAGCTAGAGGTGTCTATAATTGCTTTCCAGTGATTGCGATGCCGGGCCCACTGCGGCCAACTTTCAGCACGCCGCGAGCCCTCGCGAGATTCCTCTGAAATTCGGCTGGAACGGATGCACAACATAGGTGTCCTCAGGTCAGTCTGGACAAGTCCATGATGCTTGAATATTTTTTCTTTTACCGTGCCATGTAATTTGCCAAAAGGACACCTAGGATGCACAATTTCTGGCAGCAGCTGCGAATGAGCGCTGCTGCCCATGGCATGCCCGGGACAATGCCACTTTCGTAAAATATGTCGAACGCCGAAAAAGTCCTCGGTCGTGGAAAGGTGTAACCATTGAGTGCCGGCACAGAGTCTGCCGTTTGATTGTGACCCACACCCCCCGAATTCGTGACGGCGAGATCGAACGTTAAGCTCGAATCTCGAGACGAATCTCTTTGGATTTCCGAGGGCCGAGACCGGGCATTGGAAAGGGCTCAAGGCTTAGATGAGGAATCTGGATGTTAGCGAGTGCCAGATGCTCGAGCCCAAGAGAAGGTGGCCGCACTTGCCTTTCACAAGATTTGACATGGCGTCAGAAAGTGTTTGGTCACGCAGCTGCAGTTCCAGGTTTTTGACGTTGCGATTCCGGCCCCGGCATGAGAGACATCTCCATCCAGCGATGGCTCGAGTCAATTGACGAGGCCTTGGGCGATTACGCTGCGTGCTTCAGGGAGTTTGGCTATGACAATCTGAACTTGCTGAAGCAGGCTCGGGCTTTCACAACGAGAGCGACCAGGGGATGTTCTTGGGTCATCAAGTTGCCCAAAGGCAACATCCAGTAGTCTCCGAATTTTGGGCCACCTTTTTAGTCATGACGTCAAATGATAATCATTGTTTATGTTTAGGTCCTTTGGGCAGATGACATGTTTGTTGACCCTTTGGGACTTTTCTAATTGGAGAGCCTGGGAGGCAGATGACAATGACTTTTCTGAGGACCTTGATCAGATGGAGCCGAAGAAGAATCATCGGCGCCTGATACTTCGCCAATTTGCGGTGCTGAAAGCAGATAGCACTCAAGCTCCTGCTAGGAATTTTCAACAGCGAGAGCGAGTGTCAGAGCCGACGTGGGGGGCAACTTCTGCCAATCGATGCCCCTTTTTGCAGGAGGTCCAAGACTTTGAGAGGAAACTTGGCAGCGTTCAATCCAAGCAATACCTCTGCCTTTTATGCAAGTACTTTGGCTTGCTTTAGCTTTGTTAGCTTCAAGGCATGGCCGGTCTCTCGAATTTCTCTCTTTGATAGCGGAGCGTCAACTGCAGGGACCTATTGCTCAAGGGTTGGGCGTCGCCTGTTGCGACACCGGATCATGGCATCACTATCAGTTCGCTTCAGAAAAGCCTTCTGACCTGATTCCATGCGGGTGTGTCTCAAAATAGGGAGCCTCCAAACGGTTGGGTTTTCCCTGTTGGTTTCCCTTTAAACACACCAAAAGGAGGTACGACTCAAACAAAAACACTCCCATGCATACTCTAATTGAGTGAGCCACGTCCTTATGAACCCAAGAAGTCATGTTTAGAAATGAGTTGAAGATCACAGCCATACCCTGCGACCAAGGAAGCAGCTAGCGCAATTGTCCTCGCGCATTAACTCTGGCGACATTGTGTACATCCCAGTAGCACGGCTGGTGTTTGGCAGAACTTTCCCACGTGGATTTGTCGGTATCTACCGGCTTTCTCGTTGAACCTGCAACTGCTTACTTTCTGCTGGGGAGACCCACTCAGGTATGGTGCCTTCGCTTCGTACAGGGTCACGTGCACGGGCAGATGGTGTTTTCGGGCCACCAGGACGCGGCAGCTGAGGTACTGGCAATACTCTCGTCTTTGCGGGATGTAAGAGTCGCGCACATTGTGTTGGACAATCACGAAGCCCGGTAAAACGATAAGGTGCAAAAAATAATGATAAGGTTGTTGGGTGTTTCCGTGTTGTTTGTGCTGGAAAACGATAAGGTTTGGAGCATGGAATGCACGTATTGCTAGCATTTTGCTCAATCTTGTTTGCTCCCTTTCCGTCCTTCCTGTTCACAAACATGGCTTGGAGCATTGAGACCCGGGAGAGGCTTCCAAGTCACGACGCTGAAAACGAGAACAACACGATAACAAAAACGATAACGCTTTTTGACAGAACCCATGCCCGTGAGGAGTTGCCCATTGAGAGGAACTTAGCCACTCTACCCTAGCTTTCCCTTTGATGTCTCCCGGCCATGGACAGCATACTTGTCTTTTACGTTGGAACATGTCTTGGACTCTACGGTGGAACACATTATTGCAGTTGATGAGCGCAGGCTAGCCAAACAAATTGAAGTAAGCAAGCGGAAACGAAAAGCATGGAAGGAGCTTGCTGCTCGTGAGTCCGACGAAGAAAGCCTTGGAAGCCACCATGAGAGCTGATGCGCGCAGTTGTCCAAAAATGCGCGAACCCCGGTAAAACGATAAGGTGCAAAGAAAAACGATAAGGTTAATGATGTTGAACATACATCTAGTGTGTAAAACGATAAACTTTGACGCAAAACCGATAAGAAAACACATGTGCAGCCCATTTCAATTGAGGTTTTGCCGCGGCCTCAGCTGAACAGAGCTCGGCAATTGAAAAACAGGCTGTCTCGCAATGCGGAACCTTTTTTGGACATTCGGGGTGATGTTTATTTTGATGTTCGTCACTTCGCAGGCGAACAGAACAAAGATAGTGCTGACACGGGGCTTCGGTGCTTGCGCCCCTGCTAGGTTCCCAGCCGGTATCTCGACGTTGGAATGTTTTTCTTCTCGGCGTGTCTCTTCCGAGCTATCGTTTGGAAATTGGCTGTGCCCAAGATGCTTGCAAAGAAACGCTAAAGTTCAGCAATGATGACACTGACACTTTGGGAGTCCCATGTAGTCCAGGTCCCCCAGTAGTGCACTTTAAACAACTTTTTCGGGGGAGGGTTCCCCTACTAAATAGACTACATTTTCAGATGCATGGCGGTCTCGCAGAAAGGGCCGCAAGGGATGTTTTCGCGCGAACTCACAACGCTGGGTGGCAACCTGTGCCTTATTCAGTTTGGGGATTCCAGTCGCGTTGGGGTGGACAGGGACGAGCCACTAAACGTCAGCCGCAAAAAAAAGGTGCGGAACCCTCATTCTCTTGTGCTCATTATCTCACCATCGTGTTTTGACCATGGTTTTTAATGATTTCGCCTTCATGTTTCTCAGTTTGACTCTGGTCAAGCAACAGCAGGGCTCAGCAGTAGATGCGTGCTGGAACCAGTGTTCATTGCAACGACAAGGCCAAATGTTAGTCATTTTAGTCTTTGTTTCCATTTACGAGGGTTCCATTTTCGGTACCTTTTTTGGACCCACACCCATGTGTCAACCAGCATGAGAAGTTGAGGCTGCATTCAGCCGGAGCCTCCGTGCAGGACCGCTCAGTCTACGAGCTGCTACACGACCTGCTGAACGGGCGAAAGCGCTGCGAGGATCTGGAGCCGCTCGAGGCGGCGGTTGTTCGCCGTGCGTTTGGGCGGGAGAAACGTCCGTCCAAGCAAAAAGAACAGCTTTCAAGAGGGTTCCTTCTGAAGAGACTTGGTTTGTATGGTCTATCTGTCTTAGGCCTGTTTTACCATTCTTTCTGTTTTTGTTTGGGTGGGGTGGTCCTTTTCAGGTTGCTTTCGGGGAGACCAAGCGAAACCACCTTTTGTGGGTTCGTTCCGGTGTTTTGGGATGGGCTCGTTCTGTCCACGTGGGGTTCGCGGTAGGTGGTCTGGGATGGGGAGCTCTACTCCTTGTCCAACCGCCGCCTCTTGGCACTGCTGCTTTTGCAGGGCGGCCAGCGCCACAAGGTGCGGATGCACCGAGAAGTGACCAATCGGCGTCCTTTTTGGTTTCAGTCTGGAAAGATTTGTTCTTTGGTTTCAGTCGTCTTTGGTTTCAGTCTGGGATTCCACTTGTGTTCAGAGTGCTTCTGATTTTCCGGTGGGATCCGTCTATTCCTCCCAAAGGACACCTCGGAGCGGAAAGGCTCCTCCAAAGACCCCGTGTCACCCCGAACGCAAGTTGGCCAATTTGGGTTTGTCAGAAATGCACCCCCAAACCGGTGTTTTTTCTGTGCGGCTGTGAAAGGCTGCCCCTGATGCTGTCAACCCTGTGATGTGCGGTCAAAATATCAGGAAGGGCTATGTTTCTTTGGGGCGATGATACAGCCACTAAATCCCAGACACAACGGCGGATGGGCTGGTCGGTTTGACTGGGTCGCTTCTTTGGTTCCTTAGGGGGATGGGGCAAGGATCTCATGTGGCCTGGTGACTGATAGGTCCAAGCAGGAATGCGTTGAAGAATCTGTTGACTTTTTTTGCGGTTTGGAATTTTCCTTGACAGTAGTCAAGGGAGCAGGTCGCAACTTGTAGATGTGTTCCTTTTCGTGCATTTTTCAACGGCAGATGGACGCTGAGGAAAGAGGGTGCATTTCTGTTTGGGTGACATCACTTTCCTGAGCCATAGTTCCTGACTCCCGGGCTCTGACTTGATTACGGCAAGGGCGGCCCTTGCGCCCCCGCCTCCTCCCGGACGATCGTTCGCATCTGTGGTGATGTGGTGAGGTCTTGAGGTTGATCGATGCCATAGCTCTTGCGCGTCAGTGTGCAGCAAACCTCACCCATCACCATGATTGGTAGATTGCATGAAGTGCAGTCCAATAGACGCAGGGTTCAGCTCTGGGGTTGCCAGGACGGCGTTTGGAGCCATTCAGCACCGGCAGGCCGTGTGGGCTCCGTGCTATCTCTTTGGCCCCCAGGACGCAGCTCGCAGGTGGCAAGGTGTTGCTCTGCTTTTGCGGGGAAGGGTCCCTTTTAGATCAAGTAAAACAAAATTCTTTGTGGCAGCCCACTGGAGAAGCACATACTGTCAATACTCGGCGTCATCTTCTGTAGTGTATGTGGTAAGGATGCTATTGTGGGTGCGCTTACCAACTCTGCAGGGAGATCGGGTTGTTTCCCAACATCCAATGTCAGTTGTTGCTTCCGAGTGTTCTGGCACTGCTTGCTTGCTTGCTTGCTTGCTTGCTTGCTTGCTTGCTTGCTTGCTTGCTTGCTTGCTTGCTTCCTTGCTTCCTTGCTTGCTTGCTTGCTTGCTTGCTTGCTTGCTTGCTTGCCTGCCTGCCTGCCTGCCTGCCTGCCTGCCTGCTGGCCTGCTGGCCTGCTGGCCTGCTGGCTGGCTGGCTGGCTTGCTTGCTTGTTTGTCTGTTTGTTTGTTTGTTTGTTTGTTTGTTTGTTTGTTTGTGTGTCGTTTGTGCCTCTGAGTCTGGGTGTCTGCAAGTGTTTTTGTTTTTTTGCTTCTGTGATGTCTTTGTGTTACTGTGTCTGCGTCCTTGTGTGTTTGTGTCACTTGTGTGTGTGTGTGCCTATGTCTCTATGAGTCCGTTTCTGTGTCTATAGGCTATGTTTGAGCGTGCCTCTGTGTCCGAGTCTGTGTATGTGTCTCTGGGTCAGTCTGTTTCCGAACCTCTATCTTGGTGGGTGTGTGTGTGTGTGTGTGTGTCAATCACGAAGCTTGTTTTGTGATAGGAGGTCAGGCACATCAACGTACCACGTTTAAAGACTTCCAGGGTTGCCTGAAGAGAGCGCCATGCATCTGCTTGAAGCAGGACGTGGATGAAAGGGTTTGCTTTCTTGGGAGGCCAGGATGTCATGGCCTTGTTTCGTGTGTACGCCTCCGCCCGATGCTGTTCAAGATGCTTGCTGAAGGTGCCATGGGGGTGTCCTCAAGCTTTGTGCTGACGAGAAGTCGGAATCGCCGCTGTTTGGGTCTGGATTGGGCATTTTTGGTTTGGTCTCCGTTTCTGCTGCCTGATTGCGTTGGCTGCCGAGCAATTGGCATCATGCTGTGCAATCAGATTGCCAGAGTTGCGGACGTGGAGCAAACCGGCAAACATGAATCGTATTTTGAATAGAATTTGAACAATGAATATATACATTTTCATTAAGCATATGTGACTCGTTCTGATATCAGCAGCCAGAATGTGGCTCATCAAGGCAATATGTACTCATTGACTGCCGTCAGGACTCCCGGGTATCGAGTCGCTATGCCATGAAGGACCGCTTTGGAACAGGGTGCGAGGCCAAGAATGGAATTAATTAAGCAACGGCATGTTCAAGCATGGTGTTTTGGCGCTTTGATGGCGAAATGCATGCATCGCAGCTAAGATTTAGTTGGTTCGGATCAATTTGCATGCAGCGGTGCCCTGCGAATCGGCAGATTGTTTGCCCTTTCAGGAATTCGTCATTTGGAAGACCTTCCAGTGGCATCACCGAAAGGGCAAGTATCATTGACCCTGGATTTACAAGCCGGTCCTGCTAATTTAATAGAGGGTGGGTGTTCCCATCCCTGCCAAAAAAGGGACACCCCCTATCTTGTTCATTTGGGGTTTACATGGGCACCCGAGTTACTAGACCTTTGGAGGATTTACAGGGGTGTCCCTTTTCAGTGGAGATCCCTCACTTTTGGGGGCCAACTCCCACTCCGGATTCAACGGAGTCTTTGCTACATTCGTGTTTTCGCCTCCCAGGGGACCATCACGCAGAGTTTAAGGATGATACCGACTAGTCTCCTGCACACTTTTGTTGCACCCACCAACCCATCGGATTTCTGGAATGGAATCTCCTTTTGGAGGGCCTCCTTGATGGGTTCCATTCGATTTTGCAGGGAATAGCTGCTGTCTCAGCCAGCGATCTCTCTGCACTTTCTGCTATGCATGTGTCTCCAAGTAAGTGTAACTTCAAGGGACACATAGCAGACTCCAAGATTGCCTAAGCTATTTTCAAAGATGTCCTGGTCCCAACATGCACCCACCAACCGGCAAGCAACCCTCAAAGTTTGTGTTCCCTGCACAGCCTCACCAAGTAGGAACTCCAAGCTTGTCACAGGCACCATTCAGGCGTGGATCAACACTTCTCCCTGCCAAGTCCCTGTCGGGTAGCCCATCATGAGTCTCTATGGTTTGTGAACATGCGGATACTAACTTGGGGAATTCCTGAGTGTTCACAGACGTTCTAAGCCACGTGGTACGATTGATAATTGATTCCCAAAGTCAATGTGCCCTTTGGCCCTGCGGTTTTTGCCCGATACCACGAGGACACCACTGAGTCCTTGGGCCACGGCATGGGCGTGTTGCTGCATGGCAGGCGTGGGTTTGCAAATGTCAGTCGGACTGCACCCATGCGCCCCAGCACCTGGGTACCCGGAGGCTAAGATATACGTCAATCCCCACAAACAAACAGAGTTTGCTTTCTGCACAAGTTGTGACGAGCTCCTAGAAGGGGTTATACTGCGAGCTCGGGCCCTGTAGTGAAAGCTCCATGTCGATTCTTAAGTTCTAATAATTCATTCAGGCAGATGTCCCGGAAACAGTGGCCCACAACCACCTAACATGGATGCCACCCGGAGGCCCCTTTGAATCAACGCTGAAGATTAAGTAGCAGGAACCAGCCCCAACCAGAGCACCTGTTTTGTATTGCAGATCCCTGGAATACTGAATACTGGTAGTTTTCCAGGCACCTCGAGGTTGCATAGCACCCAATACCTCCATCAGTCATTCTAGCGGTTCCTGGTGGGAAGGCCCTTTGTAGAGATCTTCGTTTCAAAGTTTTGGGCGCTCGGGTAGATCTCCAGGCAGCCGGAAGCCTGGCACTTGGGCAAGCCGCTCTTCCGGTGCGCCAGCGAGTGGTGCGACGCAGAGGCAAAAGGGGGGGCCGCCGCGGGGGGGGTTGTTTCAACGGCCACCAAACCGTTTGTTTTCTTTCTAAAACATTGGGCAGTTCTATCATTTTCCACAGTAACACTGTCTCTTGCACTGATTTCACTGTGCCTGTGGCAGATCAACGATACCCCCTCACTAACTTGGACTCCCGGGTAGGCAGTAGCTGTGAACATAACCTGGATCCGATTTCCAACTGGCAGAGAACGACCAAGGAAGAAAATTACAAAGACCAGGCTTTGAGTTGAGTGGGCCCCTTCCGCAATGTGCCCGAGGTGATATGGTGCTTGAACAGAGATCATATATATATATACATACATATATATATATATATATGTGCTCTGGGAGGCTGGCTGCAGGTTCTGAATCATTTCACCCTTGCACTTGAAAGTCTGACACTTGCTCTGTTTTCGCAATTCCTATCCGCGCTGGAGAGGGTTCAACATGTTTGGTGCGTTGCCATTTGCTGTGGCCTTCACTATTTTGACTCTTTGGAACCTGACTATTTCCTTAAACAGTGCAACTTGCGGAGGGTCAGATTGATCCAAGGTTTTGCTTGACAAGTTTCCCTCAGGGAACCAGTGGAATTCGGTTGCTCACCTTAAGCAACGTAAATGCCAGAGGGGAGGCAATATGGTTGTGTCTCTTTTTGAGGGTACCCCCAAAATGTTACCCGAAAGAAAGGTAGATTGTCTTTTGGTTTCTCCTTAAAACCAAACAAGAAGGGGGTTCCCTCAAAAGAAGGTCACTCCCACATCCTTTCTTTGTAAGTTATGCAAGTGACGTATGGAAGGCGACGTTTTGTCCCGGTTGCTTGGGAATCACTTGGGCCAGGTTCCGGAGCCTGCGCCCTCGCGCGAGATCGTGCCCTACGAATCGAAACTTCCGCGCGCAGGTCTGCAGGCTAGGGGCGGGGTTTTCTGGGACGTGTGGCAACCTTTGAGACATCTTGGCCCTTTGCTAAATGATTGCAGACAATATGTTGGGCTTTGGCAGAGTATTGAATAGCTCTATCTTGCCTCTGTGCTTGTGAAAGCGGATGTATACAAGTCTGAACGACAAAGCCCCGACCGGAAGTTCAGACTGTGACCTTTCTTTTTGAACGTTACTTCCGGATCATCATTGAGATGGACTTGGAACGCAGGCAGGCGCGAACACTGACAGCTAATCAAACCTCTCCGGGCCTAAGTATTGGGTACTGTTGCGCGCTGGCTCAAAGAGCCGTCCACGTTTCTGACTTGCCCAGGGCCAAAACAGACCACACCAGCAAGCACGGACTAGGGGCGGGGGGGAAGGGGGGCATGTGGTTTGGCGTGGGCAGAAGGGCTTGCATGTGAGGCGGGCATGCTGGTGAAAGCAGGCCAAGAGCCGGCCAAGTTAGTCTCCCTGGAGGCAGAGTGGGCGAAGGTGCGCCGTCGAAACGGTTGGGAGGAATGGCTTCCAAGAGAGGAGCTGATCCCGGAGGACCCAGGTGTTGTTAAAAACCAACAGTCATAATTCATTGTCACCTGTTTTGGTCAAGGGAATGGACCTTGTGCAGACCAACTTTCCCTCAGTCTTGGTTCGTTTCTTCGGGTCTGATGTTTTGGCTTCGTTCCAGCAGCATATGGTGCCAGCAGCATATGGTGCCTGCAGGACTTCTCAATGATACCCGATACGGACGTCATGGAGATCCGGGAAAAGATCATGCAGGCACCAGATTGTGGGGGATGGGAGCTGTATACCGGGCTGACGTGGCCCGGTAAGGAAGCAGCCGACTGTGACTTTTCAGTGGGCATGGCAGTCGATGTGGATGGCTGGTACAGTGCCACCGTGGTGGCGCAGTATGGCGTTGAATCTATCAAAGTTCGATACCATGGTTACGACCGCGGTTCCGAGGAGTGGGTTGGCAGGGATCGCTTGCAGCGCAGAAATGACCTGGAGAAGCTGGAGGAGCAGGAGCCGGAGAGCAGACTTTGTCTTGCTCAACCTGCTTCCAGGCAGAATCCTTTGGAGACTGTGTGCTGCCTTTGGCTCGTTGGCAGGTGCTGGAGCTGGAAGTCACACACAATGGGCAAGCGCGTGTACTTGCATAAGGATGTTCCGGGCCTTCCATGTGGCTATGGCACAGCATGCAGGTACAAGCATAATGAATCTAGAGGCTTGCATGAAGAAAGTGGAGATGCAAGCCGCAATCAAGCCGTGGATGTTCCTACAAAGCTTGAGTCACCCGTACTACAGGTTGGAATGCTTGTCAAGGTGGTTCGCCGGTGGCAAGAGTACTTCGGTGAAGTCTTAAGCATTCGTCGGGGCTCAGAAGCACCTGTTCAGGTGAGGTATTTGCAGGATTGGGGCCACTCAGACGACTCTTACAATGACTGGCTCTCGATTGAGTCTTTGCACGTGCCAAGCTATGCAGATATTTCTGTGGGCATGACTGTCACTGTGGACGAGCGATACGCTGCCACAGTTGTTGATCTTCAGCAAGGGGAGCTCCGGGCGCCTGTCAAAATTCGGTATGAGACTTACAATTATGAGGAATGGGCTGGAGCGGATCGTTTGCCTTCAACATGCATCAGCTTCCTTCCAGCAATATTGAGCAGGCCTGAGGACTCTGCGGAGGACAATGTGACTATTTGTTGCTTGTGGTTGGATGGGAAGTGTTGGCACCCCTCTACGCACAAGAGTGGCAAGGGATGGCACTTGCATCAGGTGCGCCCTGACGTACCATGCATCAACGGGAGCAACTGCAAGCATTGTGCGGCCAGAAGCTCGCTCAGGGCCATCCAGGATGTGCCAAGCGCAAGCGTCGACCGGGCGGCCAGGGCGGCCAGGGCGGACAAGCCATCTGAAGTGCTGCCCTGGACCTCCGAGCCGCCCGATCCGGAGCAAGCGGAGCGCGCCGTGCGCAAAGCCATCCACGTGGTGGAGGAGTCGGGGCCTAGGGGCCTAGGGATTTGGACGCTTTTTCTGGGATCCGACCTTCAAGGCCCACCGGAACTTTCCAAAAAACGGGGGATGCCTCGAACATGGGCGCTTTTTTCTCCTTTGTGGTCGGTTTTCAAACAGTTGGGTCATCTTCCAACAAAGGGGGCCACAGGGCGGGAGCGAAGTTTCGACTGGCAGGAGTTGTGCTTGTCCGACGCCAAGTCGCTATCATGGGCACAGGAGAAGAAGCTGCAAGAAGCGTCCAAGATCGACTTGGTGGCGCTCATCCTAGCAGCGAACCATTGGAAAGATGGGTCCTTTGCTGCCCAGGCGAGATTGCCTCAAGCATGCTAGGCACTACTTGCAAGCAAATCCAAGATAAAGGTCTTCAGAAATGCCACATATCCATCACCAACAAACGGCGTGCTGTCATTTAGTCTTGTTTGTTTAGTGCCACAGCTCCACTAACAGAACACGTTCTGCTTTCAGCGCTGGCAATAGTCATCCACTATCCGCAAATCCACGGCCATCTTTGTATTTTCCAGATCACAACTCGAAAGATCAATCCTTGAGCAATTGCAACCATGTGAAAAGCAACTGCCCTTGTGATTCCGTGTTTTTTTTGGGGTAGACGTCTTTGATATCAACACCTGAGTTTAAGTATCTTGGCTCTGAAATGGCCCAACCATAGGCAATCTCAAGGAAACCAAGGTCACATTTGATTGTCCGAGGAAATTGTAGATCATGGTTTTGCAGGTCCTTGTGGAGGCACCTTTTGGGGTGCAGGGTGTTTCCCTCATTTGCCACCTGGGCTACCCTCCCAGCCCAAAAACTCACATGGAAGTGCAAAAAACGTCCTTTCCAAGAGGAAAGTAGGCTTTCCACAGGGGTCTGTGCACTTCCATGTTAGCTGGTGGGAGGGTACCAATTTATGCAAGATGCCTTTTGGTTCGGCTTTTGAACTCGCAACTTTGAGCCAGGCGGACTTCCACTCGCTCCTGGCACAGCTGAAAGCCTCAGCCCCCATAGACGACGTCTCCGGCTCCGACTCCGATGCGAGCGGCGAAGGGCCGGGGCCAAGCGAGATAGAGGACGACTTGTCGCTGTACCAGGACTTGCGGGTGGGGGGGGGAAGTTGCCACCTCGTGACCTGAGAGCTTGATAGGCTGAGGCAAGGATTCGGCATTTGTGCTTACGCCGATGGGGATTGTCGTGGCAGATTTTCACTAAGCTCAGCTATCACCGGCAATTTGTGGTTGGCCTACCACCAAATGCAACCGTCACACGTGGCAACCGTGGGTGCATTTGCAGGTTGCCGGTTATCTACCTCTGGGACATTTGTTCATGAAGGCCGCCCCTCCAACCCCCCCCCCCGGGAGAAAAAGGGGCAAGAAGGATAAAGCAAAACAGCATACAAACACATAAACAACAATAAGCAACAGATCCTTCTCTGGCCAGTAGTCACGGAATGAACATGTTGAGAATACCTTCTGAGATCCCCTCCCTGCATGGGGAAGGGGAATGGGGAGATCCCCTAGCTTCATTTATCTAGTCTTCCCTGCAAACGAAGAGCGAATAATTTGCATTCCAGGTCAGGTGTCACGCCCCTACTCGAATTCATGCCAGTTCCATATTGAAGAGATGTTCACCTTGGAGGCACCGGCTTGCATATCGCATACCCCATTTGTTTCATATAGCCTCAAAGTGTGCGACCTGCTGAGTTTGCCGAGGGCCAAGCCATGACAATGAAATCTAAAAAGGGAACCTGAACGGAGTTGACCCTTGACAACTTGATGGACACATCGATGTGAATGGTGTCGCTAGCAAAGGGCTCCCAATCAACATTCGCAGGAAGGCAAGGAGGATACCTTGGAGGCCGGATCGATGCGACCTTTGAGTCATTGAGACCGAATCAGTCGATCCCGAGTCGTAGAATCTTGCAGTGCTCCGGTTTACCACAAGTGATCCGGATCCACTGGAACATGGGCGCCCCCAAAAAGTCCACCAGGTGTTGCTGGGTCCTGGGTTGCCACTAGTCAACAGCCGCAACCACAATTGTACATGGACCAAAGGGCTGATTTGAGGGATTTAGAGATGGGATAAATGGGAATGCCACGTATCAAGGCAACATTTGTTGGTATTGCGACTCATGTTTCCAGGAGAGAGGAGGGGGAGGGGGGTGGTCCCAGGGAGTTTGTGGTTGGGACCCAACGCAGCACGCCTGTGATTCGACTCTGTGTGCGAACAGGAGGCCAGACCCACCACACTTGTGTTGTTTGCGCACCCTGATGCCCTGATGTGTGATCCAAATGTGTTGTTTGCCCGTGTTTGGCCCACTGCTTGTCATACTATAAGGCCAGCCAAGCGACCACACGCTGAAACAACAAGTGATGTGGTAAATGGTAATTGTTGTTTGCAAAGTGACTTCCTTTGACAAAACGATGGCTGACGATTGGCTCGCAGAATGTGTTGCAGCCTGGCAGTCATTTGTTGACCAGTGTTGGGGCAACCATGTTTTGCCATCTTTTCGTATGGCCCAGGGCTGGCTTAGCCGTGTGGTTGTTGTTTCCTGTGGGACTGAACGGAACTGGGGTGTTTCATCATGGTTCAAAGTTAGTTTGTCATAGTGTTCGCTTCATGAGGATTCCCACGAGGTGGACTACTAATTTCTAAGTCGCACATGTCACAAACCTTCTTGGAGTATTTCGTGTCGATTTTCGTCAAAGTGCCAGGCGCAGCTCCAACATCAGCCCGAGGAGTTGAAGCAGCTGTCCAAGGTCTTGGTCTTCGGCACTTTCAGGCAGTGAGCCGTCCTTGAGCCTGCTTTGTCACGTTGTCAGAAACAACACGGCAATGCACGGCACGGCACGGCACGGCAACGCACGCGCGCACAACTGCACGCACCCACGAACACACCACGCACAGACACACACACACCCACACACACACACACACCCACACCCAGAGATTTGACCTCACCCACACAGAATTCTGAGTCAAGAAACACATTAGATGCCCCATCTCTTGCTTCCCGTGTTTAGGTCTCTGTCAGCACTCTTTCTGCGTGAATCCACTGTGCCCCCGAACTGAGATGCGAACTCCCCAAACTGGGGCCTGGTTTCCTCTCAAAATAACTCCAAGAAAGGTGCCAACTCAAAAACAGAAAGGTCACTCACTGCAAGCTAAGTGGTTTCCCTTTGACTTCCCAGCCGCAACTTCAGGTGCGTCTCTGGAGACCAGCAGAGCCGGGGCGAGGTGCTGGTGGAACGTGGACCGAGGCAAGTGGGGTGAAGCAAATGAGGTTCGGTCAGGCTGTCCAGCGTGCCAAGAAAGGGTGTTTTCCCATTGGACGCTTTGGGGTGACATCAAAAGAGCAGGAGCAGCAGTTCTACGTCGTCAAGCTCCCAAGAGTTCTCACTGTGCTGACAGAACTTGTCCCTGTGTAAGTTTTCTTGTTGACCTTGCCAATGCGATCAAGCTGAGGTTCCTTCCATAGAACCGGGGCCAGTTGAGACCGGATCGAGCAACAGCTTCAATCCTATGCTGTGCATGAAGCAACGTTCCTCACCCGCATAGCCATCCCCTTGAACGAACACTTTGGCCGAGCCAGCACTAACTCTGTCATCCACATGTTTCGATCATCCTCGCGCGCTCCAGGCTCTTGCTGGGCTGTCGAGTTCGAATTCCCGGCCGCTGCCGCCGGACGGCCTACGACTTCGACCGCTGCTATGTGCGGCTGCTCATGGTGCGGGACCCAGGTATGGGCCCAAAGCAAAAGGCAGTCGCGCACCTCCGCAGGCCGAACCTTATGGGGCGGTCTTTACCATTGGTTTTTTGTTGTTGCGGTATTTTCAATGAGCTTCAGTAACTTCAGTATTGGGGGGAGTTTGAGCAAAGCTGATACGGTGAGCTTGTTTGGATGTTTTTCATGGAAGCCCCAAAGCAACTCATCACAAAAGGCGCTTCGTTACTTTAGGCAACACGCGGAACCCATAGGACTCCATCAAGTTCTACAAGTACTGCATTTTAGGAAGCACGCTGGGAGAGTGGCGGAGGATCCCAGCCACAAATAGGTTGCGGGCTTCTGACTTTGCAGATCCTTGCCACGTATTAAGATCCTCGTCATCTTTTTCAGAGCGGAGTCTTTTCTGGGGGAAGCGCCCTTTGCAGGGCAGTACCTTTTTTGGGGTGCAACGATGAGCAAAAGCTCGGTCGATCTTGCGCTTGGGTCGACTTGCGCTGCACCCAAAACGCTGGTTGGCCAACGGAGTTTGACCGTTCTTCTAAACGTCACAAATGGCGAATACATATATATATATATATATACACATATATATACATATATATATATATATGTCTGGATTGTTTTGGCAACCTCCACACTCAGCTTGAGTGCCAAAAAATGGGAGACGTTCAAGCTGGGTATAATTCTGGATTGTGTGAAGTCAAATTAGTTTCAGGCGCTGCCCAGGTAAAATATGCACTCTGCCGCTATGATGAAAGTTTTTCAAGGATGGCCAGCGCCCTAAGGTAGACATTTGCCTCACTTGACATGGCATGTTCTTCCGTGTGAATTCTCCACCTCAGGCATCCCTTTTTGGGAGTAGATCGGATGGCTTGTCTGAGTTGCAAAGGCAGAGAAGGTAGTCACAGTGTTGGTTTTGTTGCGGGGCTCTTGGCGATTGGCACGCGAGATTTCACTTGTTGGCATTTGTTTGGTGCTTCGGTGTGCCAGGCTCCTGTTGACCGCGAGGTCGATGCAAAGGAAGTCAGGAAATCAACCATCTTCATGAATTCTCCGGTCTCTTGCTTGGGAAGCAGTCTTCACGGTTCGCAGAGCGAAGTCTCTAGTTGCTGAGTGCTAGGGCAGCAATCATACCCATGCAGATTGTTCGGGTCAAGAGTTCCCTAGCTGAAGTAAGGATGCTTGTTTTGCAGCCTGCACCAAGGGCAAGTTCATTCCTGCAGAAGGCCAGACGCGGAGAACGCCCGAACTTTTGGCAGAGGAGGAAGTCGCAAGGCAGGGTGGGCGGAGGGCGGAGGGCAGGGGGTGGGCCCGGCGTTTCACAGCGCCACAGTAGGAAGAGCTGACAGAGGGTTGATTCTGATTGCACTTGCGTGCGCGCAAAGCTTTCGGCGAAATTTCTGCGTCGTCTTTCCAGATGCTTGCTTGTTTGGCGTTCAATTTCCGGCTGTTTCTGCATGCATTCGGTCTTGCATCCCGAATCCTCTTAAGGCTGACACTGCCATGCTGTCGTAGATAATGAGCACCGGCCATGTTTTGAGGGTGCGACTGTGGGAACGCTATAGTGACATAGAGAAGCTGTGAGTGTTGAGTTGGAGACTGGAGATGGGGGGGGTGGACTTGGTGTCAAGCTTAAGTTGCAAGTTGAATTTGGCCCTTGTGACTTGATGTCGAAAGCTAATTGCCCCGGATTGAGAGTACATGGCATGTCCCGAACAGGGGAAACGGAGTGTCCCCCCCAAGGACGACCACAGCGCTTCTGGACAAATTAGATCGCGATCTCACACTTGAGATGGAAGCTGACAATGGTTTTTAAGGGTTAAGGGGAAGGCGAAACAAAGGTTGCGGTTTGAGACATGTTTCGGTTCCTTGCTTGGAGATCCGTTGTTTTGCTCTGGGTGCATCCGCGATTTCTGGAGCTCAGGACGGAGCTCTACGGGCGGGTGCTGCATGCGTGCCCTGGCAAGCGGCAGAAGCTCTTTGTTTGCACCAGGCGGGGACATGGGTCCAGGCGTTTGGAAGTTGGGACTCAATGAGATTTGTGAAGCCACCGCCCAATTCTGGGGCCTTTTGGTGCCGATTTTGAATGAGGTTCAATGGATGAGACCCTTACGAGAAGGGTCCAATGAAGATATTCCACAGATTCTTGAAATCAGGGACCACTTTTGGATGGTGTCTTTAGGGACACCGAAAGGGACCCTCATCCACATCGAAGACCTGTGTTTTCTAAGAGACGTGCCAGGCATTTGAAATGATGGCGGTCTAAGCAGTGTCTCGAAACAAAGCAGATCCAAGATGCTTCCTACAGCTGGGTTTTGAAGACTCCATAGTTTGTTCGCTTCCCTTAGCTTCTTTTTCCAGATTCGACCCGCGCCCGCATTGGAACCCAGATTGCAGCTCGAAGCCGAGGGAATCGGCACTTGCAGGGATGCTCCAAAGAACCCGAAATTTCGGCAAGTGGCACGTGCTTGCTCATTTGTTGATGATTTCTCCTGGGCCTTTTCGTACACAGCCCTTGCCATAGGACCAAGATGGTCCGCAGCAAGAACCAGATGACCTTCAAGCCCATCAACGGCAAGCTGCCCGCCATTCTGGTGCCCTGGAACCAGGCTGGGGTTAGTCTTTGAGGACTTGGACAAATGGCCTGGATGCTCTTTGACTGGACCGCAACAGTCCATGAACTTCGTGGGCAACAGAGCGTTTTCCCACTACGTGGTGCCAGTAGCTATTCTTGCAGTTGGGACAATAGCCACCAAATAATATGGTTTTGTTGGCACCAAAAAGGGAGGGCGGTGGTTTGGACATTTGTTGGGTTGTTGGGGGCTGTGTCGCGCTATTTTTGTCTGGCCTTTCTGCTGCTAAAGAGTGGAGTTGATTCCTTTCGGTGCCAAATGTCTCCAAGGTGCACAGGATTTTCACCCTGGCTGGTCTAAGCAAGTGTCCCCCTACCTCCTGGCTCCCTTGCCAACGCGCGATGAGTGGAATCACCACACCTGGCATACGAGGTAAGGTTTAGCAGGGCGCTGTCCCAAGCAGCAATAGGTGTGGATATCAGCCCTTCGGGTTCTTACTGTTGACTCCTTTCAAGACAGGTTTCGATTGTGGCTCAGGTGCGAGGGTGTCAATAAGTGGTCAGTAGCCCCACTCAGGCTTGGTTCCTGAAGTGGATCGCACAGCAAGCCCAACTGAATGGACTCGACGGCCAAGGACATTAGCCACCAACTGGGACGGTGATTTAAGCAGGCACTTTGCAAAAGGATGGTTCCTTGGTTGGTTTCCCCTTGGCTTCTTATGGGTTTTCCCTGGTTTCTCCTTCTAGGTCCCCCAATAGTGCCCTTCTACCCTTTTTTTGCGGGAGGGTTCCCCCACCAAAACAAAAGACTACAGAAAAAGGGGTACCCTAGTTTCTAACCTCTCTGCTCGAGGACCTAGCCTTGGTTTCCCCTGGGTTTGCCCTTGCTTTTGAGACCGCAAAGCGCTCCAGGCCCAACCGGCCCTGGATCGTTTCGACCTGCACCTGGTGGAGGTGGTGGACTGGCAGGATGGCCGACGCCTGGACTGGAGCTTGGAATCCGGTTCGGGGCGTTGCCACCCATACAAGGGGTGCGATGTTTTGGTGTTTTTTTTTGTGGTTTTTAGGCGGTTTGGTGGGTTTGGAGGGTGTTTTTTAGTGGTTTTTAGTCAGGTCCCCCAGCTAGGTGCCCTATCTCACCAACTTGTTTGGTTGGGAGGGTTCCCCTACTAAAATAGACTACAGAAGTTAACCTTATTCTGACCTCTCTACTGGAGGACCTAGTTGACATGACATCCGTATGCGTATATAGTATACATATATATATATATACACATGCATATATACATACACGTGTACATATCGTTTGGAAGGCGTAAAAGATGTGGTTGTCCAATTCCTTTCCACTCCCAAGAGGGCGATTCCTCTTCACATCGCTCCTGTCAGGAGAGCAGTGGGCGCCAAGTTTAGGACACTCCTTTAGGCTGACCCCCCAGCGATTCGCCAAAAGGAACATGACAAATAAAATACCCAGGTGAAAGGAGTTTGGGAGACAAGCCTCACAACCTTTCGCGGGTTGTTCTTTGGGAATGCTTGCATTCTGCACGCTCCAACGAAAGCATACCTGGGTTTCTGGTGACGTCTTGTTGGATGCTAGACACCTTGAGTTTAGCTCGCACATTTTGTTATGACGCTCTTTGTTTTAATGTCTGTGTCTGTGTCTGTGTCCGTGTCCGTGTCCGTGTCTGTGTCTGTGTCTCTGTGTCTGTGTCTGTGCATGCATATGTATAAGTGTGATGCATGTTTTGACCTGGACTATTTGATTCCTGTCCTCTCTGGGAAGGGAAGGTATCAAGGGCAGTCATGTGCAAATGTACTCCAGGAGTACATGGGCTTGGGGTCCCAGTGTGCTGGGAGCCCGTATCCCCTTGGTGTCTCTTTTCCGGGAAGCGGGCCTGCTGCATCATCATAGAAGGCACACCTGTTGCTGGGGCGGCGGTTCTTTCTCTGCTAGGAAAGCCTTGCGGGAAGTACCTCCGCGCGCTGTGTATGCAGGACCGAGAGGCGGGTTGGTTCCAAAGTTTGCATGGAACCCCAAAATCAACGGGGTTTCAATCTTGTTCACGATTTTCCACAAAGTCAGATGTCGAAGCAATTGTTTTGGACATCGCAACGCTACAAAGGACGGATGTGTTGCATCACGTTTGCCGCGTTGCAAGGGGTTAAACCACGGCAGCAAACCCTGCGAGGGCGCGGACATCTTGGAGGTGGTGAAGTGGTCAATGAATTTGTCGGATTGGGAGGGGAGGGAGGCGGAGGCGACCAGTGAGGACCGGGAAAACGTGGGGGTGTCGGGGTCACGGTCGCGGGGCTGGCTCCCCCAGGCTATGTGAAGTTTCTGAACGTAGCCACATTGCAAGCGCCAACGGCTTTCTAATCTGTACTCTATTAGGGAGAAGGCCTGCCAAGCGGTCTTGGCTTTGGGCAAGAGCAAAACAGAAATACCCACCTGCTATTCGTACCTACGCTTAGCATCCTTGTTTCGGCAACGCGGGCAATGATGAGGAAGTGCTTGGGAGGTGCTGCGCTTGTCTTTGAGGGTGTTTTTGCGCCTGTTCGTCACAAAGTTGTAGATGGAGTTATGATCTATTTTTTCAGAAGCTGACCCGAGCCAACGAATGTCCATAAGCGAGAACCCTGTCACACACACACACACACAATTTGTCTTGGAGTTACTCCAAGGAATGTTGTGTTCGGTTTGTTTCACCCAACAAGTTGTGGACTTGATCTATTCTTGGGATGTGTACATAAGACGATGGTAATGATATGTCAAGGAAACCAAGGTACAGCTACGGATCCTAATGAGGTGCACCCACAAGGGTGTCCTTAAGGTTAGTGGCTTCTAGGTGGTTGGTTCCTTTCCAGACCCCGGGTCCGTATTTGAGACACCCCCATTTGTCAACCTTCGAACCTGGCGCTTACCCCCGCTTCTTTTGCGCTCTGAAAGAGGGGCGACGGAACATCACCGGGTTTTTCGACCAGAAATACGCTCCAAAAACCAAAGCGCCCTTATGGGTCAACACATAACACAAGAGGCGAGTATCATGAAAGCTTAAGCTTTTGTGTTTTGGAGCTTTGCGCCGTTTTTTTTGTTCAGCCACACCATAGACGTGGGGCTGGGCTGGAGGAAACAGAAGGTTCCACGTTGACCGGCATCGGCATCCAGCACCCCGACGTGCCCGCGGGGCTGTTGTTCTCGGAGTCGGGCAAGGCGCTGCAGGCGCCAATCATTTTTCCGCGGCGTGGCTTCCCTTGGCTTCTGTTCAAAGGCCAAAAGGAGGGCGGGGTTGCAGAGAATCGCTCGCCTGGGGAAGTGATTCGGCATGAGTACTAGGGGGCTTGATCCGGGCAAAACTGGGTTTCCGGACTGATTCGGATTCCCCTTCAACCGTTTTTTTTTCTTCAAAAGTTGGTCCTGAGTTCTGCGAGACTTCGACTGGTTGACACTCTTGCTTCCCTGCAAGAGTAGCTTCATCTAGCTGTGGGACCATGATAAGTACCAGGTTGATGTTATGAGTGGCTGCCACTGCCAAGTCTCCTCTTTATGACTAGGTGAACTGAATACTCGGGTCTTTGCCGTGGTCAGAGCTTCCGCCAGCTGCATTTGGTTTGGAATACTTGCTCTGCCATAGCCCAGAAAGACTATCAGCTCGCTTCCAGGGCTATGTCGTCCAATTGAAATGGCTTTGACTTTCTCATGCTTTGCTTGGGACACCTGAAAGTTGTGCTCAAGCCACTTGAACGTGAGTTGCGCACTGCGCAGGTCCAGCTTGCTTAGTGCTGAAGGCTGCCTTCTACGCTCCCCTTTCCGCTTCCGCAGGTGCACATCCTGGACGTCAACGCTTACTTGGACACACCAGAGCTGGAGGAAGCAGAGCTGTTGGCCCGCCGGAGGGCCGTGGGCGAGTGGCTTCCTGGCTCTGGGTTTCAGTGAGGCCCAGGTTGGCGGGTCCAGGCTTGTGATACCTTCACTTGGCGAGATAGACACGATGCGGGAAAGTACGGGTTGCCCGGACCCACATGTGGCCGGAGCGAGTACAGGTCTTTGGGGATTTGGTCGGAGCCAGGCCAGGGGCTGCTTGGATTTGCTGACGAGAAAGTTGTGGTTGAGAAGGCACTGGTAATGGTGTGAATCCAGCCACTTGTTTGCGTTAGATGTTTGTCGAATATGTTTATCATGGCTCGCCGTATTTGACTGCACTTGAGGTCACTACGGCACATCGTGGGCGGTGTGGGTTTTTGGGGACCCAAATCCTATGCATGGCGGCATTTACCATTCGGGAAGCATCTTCGGTGGCGGGGGGGGGGACCTCATCTCTGGGAGCTTCGGATGTAGCGCTGGGGCATCGCTTAGTTGCGCCCACCTCGAAAACCTTCACCAATCTGAGGCTGCGGGTGGGATGCTATTCGGTGCTTGCATGGGAGAAAGTTGGCTTGCCCAGTGGCTGTGAGAATTGCACGATGCTTGACTGGTCGAGCTTCAGGGGAGGCCTATCCGAAGATCAGGGTAAGTTTAGTGGGCAAGTTGGGTCCGGTGGGGATGCTGACAAGGTTTATGGACCATTTGGACCAGCCCTTGCACAAGCTGCTGCTCCTGCCAGAGGGCTTGTGCTTTTGCCCGGGCCGCACGAGTCGGGCTTTGACCTTTTCGCTGCCTCTGGAGGACGGGGCGGCCCAACCGGAGTCCCAAAGCAAACAGGCTCTTTAGCGAGCCGCATGCGATTGGTTTCTGAAGTCGATACCGGATAGAACTTGGAGCTTGAATCTGGAGCATGTTATGAGACTTGGCAACCAACGCGGGATCACAGGTGAACCCTCCTGGGAGTGGTTTCCGACTGTATCCCCGATGGCCTCTTTGGATGCGATTTGCCACTGTTTCGAGTTTGGATCCATCACTGCAAGCAGCCCCTGACCGGCAACTCACCCTGCAGCAATCCCCTTCCAAGAGATAGTTGGGTTGGGGGTACTGCGGCCCCTGAAATTGCATTTGAAGTCACTGCTTTGCAAGCGGTGCCGTTTCTGTGCCCTATGGGGCGTCGTTGACAATGGTCGACATACCCTGTAAGATAGTGAGCATCCTGTCAAAGGTGCTTGTCCCGCGTTGTTTTTTTTAACACTGACAATCCTTGAGGCGACAAGCCAGAGAGCACAATGAAGGTGACCGCTGGGATGCGGACGGCGCTAGCAACCCACTAGTCGATTGGGAGAAGTTTGAGTCAGAGCGTGTGCGTTAGGACCCGAAAGATGGTGAACTATGTCAAGCTCGCCCCAAACTGTGTTGGTTGATTCCAACAGGCGCCAGCGCCTTAATAGCCGGCCCAAAGGCTTCGGGGGGCCGGACTCCACCATTTGGGAATGAAGGTTGATTGGTTGGACCTCAAAGCTACATGGTTAAATCATGTGGTCACTCACTCTTTGCGTTGCTGTTCCAACCATGGCAATTCAATACAAAACATGTAATTTTGACCACCCACCATTTTTGAGAGGGCTTCAATTCCAAGCATTCCAGTTCTTCGCTTTGGCGACGAGGACGGTCAGCTCAATTGGCAGAACGCCCAGGTCTTCGAGTCTCTGGTGCATTGTGACCGCATCCTGAGACCCGAAGAGCTGGGTAAGCTGCTGCCGAGCGGCGACATGCAGGAGCAACCGGACAGAGGATTCACGTTTCCTTGTGTGGACCCTGGAAAACGTCAGTAGAGGCGATTCATATTTGTTGTGCTCTTCCGCTTCTTTTCTCTGTTGTTTTCTCTTTCTTCTTCTTTTTTTTTGGGGGGGTGCAGAGAGAAAGACTGCTCAAGCGTTTATGCTTCTCTTTTTTTTTCAGGGATAGTTTTGGTAGACTTGGACGTTGGTAGGAGTCGGAACCTGAACTCGCACGACTGGTGCAGTCGCTCTTTCAGCACGCCTGCGGCTTTGAGAATGCCCTTCGGTCCACCGGGAGCTTTGCGGTGCTCGCTGACTTGGACCTCCAGCTGCACTGCGCTTGGCAGCGGGAAGGTGGGGGCGAAACAGACTAGCCCAAAATGGAACCCTGGTAAGCGGCAACATGGACTAAAACCTGTGGTGCCCTGGTGGTCCAGTTTCTTTTACGCTCCCAGACCACTTCCGCCCTTTGGGGCCTCTTTCTGAGTGTCTCAAAGATGTCTTCATCAGACCCCCAAAGCAAGAATACCCACCTGAGTTATGTTCCAAAATACTTGGGACCCCTTATTTCGGGTACACACCTTGTTGTTGCTGTGCTTTTGAATTTGGCCACCCCCAAACTCCCCAAAGGTCGCGCACTCAGTGCTCAGAGACCCGGCTTCGCTCGTTCGTTCGTACACACCTTGGGCATTCCAGGGGCCCTTGGCTCGCGGCTGGTGGAGACCTACATGTACCTGGTGAATCTGGTGGCGGGTCAGCGCCTGGCGCGCTGCGACTGGCAGCAGCTGCTGGACGCCGAGGAACGCCGCGAAGGGAGCTTGCGCCTGCGCCACTGGCAGGTTGGGGCGACCCGTTTTTGGTCCACCAACGGGCTGTTTGGACCCCAGAACCAAGAGATAAACAGGGAGTCCCAAAGAGGTTGGGTGGTTGGCACGAACCACGATTTCCGAGCAAAGTTGGTCAAGCCCCCTCTGTTTCTTGTTTGGAAACTCAAGGAAGACAGAGCGCATTTGGAGGATTCCTGCATGAGGCCTGTTTTAAACCCCTGAAAAGCGATATGGAGGATACTCCGCAAAAGACAAGGGACGCAAGTCTGGCCGGGACCATCTCCAATAAACTTGTAGGAGGGTTCGAACGCACCTTATGGTGTGGAAAGGGCTCCCTACATGTTCTTTTGTGTGTAGCTTAAACATCACCTGTTGGTTGCCTTTCCGAGTCCCCGCAATGAAGAGAGGCCTCTGGGCTTGGATTCTCAAAAGTTCTGGGGGTCTGAGCTCACCAGTGAAGGCCCGATTTTATTGTTATTTTTATTTTTTTTCCGAGTTGTGAATGGCCCATGCAGAATGATACAGGGTTTCCTCCATTTCCCGTTCTTGGGCCTCCAGAAGTGGCAGTTTTGTCAATTGCAACTTGTTTGAGGGGAAGCCAGTGGCCCCTGTGCTAAACACTTACTGTATGGTTTAAGATTTAAAAATAACACGTGCAATGACTTATGGTTTATAAATTACGCGTTGCGATGGGTTGAAGCGCCCAACCCTGTTCAGGGCAGGTTCGACCCGGGCACCTGGCGCGTGATCGAGCGACTGGTGAGGTGCAAGCCCAACAGCAAGGTCTCCCTGCAAGACGCGCTGAAGGCGAGGGGGCGAGGGGCGGAGGAGAGGCGACACTTCTCCTTCACGTTGTTGTTGGGAAACATTTTTTCATTTTGCTTATTGTGGTGCATCCCCACTTCTCTGCTACAATTTAAATTGTTGCTCCCCTTCCAACGTCAACCAAGTATCATTGGAATGTCCTTTGTTGATATGGCCATGGGTCGAGTCAAAACCGTACCCCCAGTGAACATCCCAATCCAACCACTAAAATAGACTCAAATAGGTGGTGCACCTATCCCAAAATGGTACCATTGGTTTTGAACCATGGCCATATCACACTTTACGGAGCTTGTTGTAAAGGCCCAAGAGAAATCACCCATAGGGGGTTGCCCCATTTGAGCCAGAATTAAAGCCAGGATAGATGAAAGGTTAGTAGGAGGACCCAACATCCATGGCTGCGGCTTTCCGCCCTTTGCATTCTTTACATTGATTTGGATAGACCCTTTATTTGATGGTCTTTGGGTAGCCTTTTGATGGAACGTATTCAGACCGAAAGTGTACACCCCCTTGTAACCACTTACTCGCCAAACGTGCAGGCGCTGGATGGGATTCTGCAGCAACCGCTGACACCAGCGCAGAAGTCATGCCTGGCCGCATCCTTCCACCGGCGCCTCCGGTTTGCTTTGCCCCACGCCTGCTACGCCATTGACACGGGGCGCCTGCAATCCGCCACCGACCTCTTTCACGTGGCCATGCCCCTGCACCGATACCTGGACATTCTCGGCATGCGCGCCCTGAAGCCTGATCTATCAGAACCCTTTTTCAAGTTTTGGTCTGAGGACATTGCATGCCGATCTGATGTTTGCAGTTTTGGGCTAGTAAATCTTGGATCCATTTGTTGCACCAGCCGCCTGTTGAACCCTCTTTTTCCTTGCCCCCAGGAAGTGCCAGCTTGGTTGGCAGCCCAAATGTGCGCACATGCGCATGCCGCTCGTCTGGATCATGAGGGTTGTCCAGCAGCATTGAAACAAACAAACCCCTCTCAAATGACACCGCAAGAGTCCCCAAACAGCGTTGGGGAATCCCCATTGCAGAACGATCCGAGCCTAAAGTGGGCAGAGGATTCACTTTCAATGTTCCAAATTCAATTTTCGCGCCGTTTTACAGCGAGAGCGATTTCACCCACCCAAAGTCCGCAGAGGGTTGATTTTGATGCCAAAAAATCGCACCGTGTCACAGCGAGAGCGATCCGACTCACCCAAATGAGTCTGCAGAGGCTTCACCAATCAGCTGTTTTCGGAATTCGCGCGGCGCCACAGCGAGATCCCACCCTCGAAGGACGAAAAACCCATTTTGCGAACCTGCGCAGTCGAGAAGCCCGGCCCAGACCCCGGCCAACTACTTTGTGCGAGCCTGCGCAGTCGACATGCGTTTCAATATGTTTCACAGCCGCGATTGCACCATCAAACATGCAGACCAAATCGAGCACCCTCATCCAACACGAGCCCTTTACTCTTATCGTAAGGCCCCCTTAGAAGAGGCACACGGTTTGGGGAAAGAAGACGTAGGCACCCATTCGGTTGAGTGTGGAATTTCCTTGAAGTTATTTGAGCGACTTTCTTCCCTGAGGTCCGTGGCTGCTTTGGAGCAGGCGGTGGCCAACGCCAACATGAGGCACTCGGCGCAGGGCTTCGCTGTCCACATCTTCAGGCAGCGGCTTGCCGTTGACTTGGGACCAAATGACCAAGCTCAGATTTGGAGCAGGTTGAGTTGGGAGCACCAACTCAGGCTAGAGTTTTGTTTGAAACAAAATCCGGGTGAGGGCAAACCTGTGAAGGCTCCAAAGGTGGGAAGTCGGGTTGGCTCGTTTTTGTTGGGCGTTCTGCGTCAAACTCCCATGGATCGCTCCGAGGATCGCTTGGATGCGGGAGCTCTCAGCGTGCGACCGCGCGGTGAAGGATGCCGTGGTGGGCGCTCTGGGCCCGAAATACGTCAACCTGCTGATCCCCTGGCCACGCGCCCCACGGGGCCTGGAGGTGAAGGCCAGGCTGCGCGGGCGCGGGCTGCGTTTGGTTTTGATCCACCAGACTCCCCCTTTGCGAGCCCCAAAGAAGGCTGGGTTTGGCAGGAGTGTAAACAGGTGTTCGAACCACGGGGTCACGATTGATGATTTTTCCGCGAACAAGTGCGCTGTCCGGTTGGAGAAAGCAAACCTGAGTCAGATCTGGTGATTCCTTCGATGCTGTTGGGTACCTTTGGTTGTGACTTAATTTGGTCTGCAACCTTTGGAGACGGTGTCAAGTTATATTCAGTTTTCACTTGTTTTTGAGTAACAAAAGGGACATCAGCCATTTGGGGCTTGACGAGGCCATGATCCTTTCTGGGGACTATATAGCTTTCAAAAGCGGCCCGGCATGAAACCGAAATCGTTCCCAAATCCGAGGCTTCCATATCCGTCCATTGTCTTGTTGGAAGGGTCCTTGCCCAGTTTCAGCTTGGGGTCGTTATGGTCTCCACTCGGAAGCTCTTTGGTTGGATTGACCACCTTTTTTGGCAACATGTGTGAGTTTCCACCAGCCAACGCCACGAGTCCGCTTTTCCGAGATTGCCATCAACATTTTTCTGGGAATCTAAGCTACCACCAACAAACATGGAACGGCACACACTTCCATTTTATGGAAGACTACTTAGCCTACTTGTCTTTTGGAAAAAGTTCTCTGTGCACTTCCACGTTGGTCGGTGGGACTCTGGACAACCATTGCAAGGTGCCTAGTCTGACGATGGCAAATTTAAGGGACTTGTTTTACTTGATGTTTCCCCATTGCAGGGGTTGTTTTAAATTCCAGGACTAAGATAAACATATGCATATTACATATATAGTATATGTATATATATATATATATACAACATCTTTTCGGAAAGACGGCAAGTTCCGCCTCAAGCTTCTCTTAGCGGAGTTATGTTTCGGGGTTCGACACCGGGTACGTTGTCGGGAGACCTCAGGTGCCCGTGGCTGCGCTGCGCAGCGCCACCTGCTCGGCGGCTCGGCGATGTTCGCCTTATTTGTTGGGTCCCGGAGCCCGTGGTCTTTGGATTCAACGGGAACACAGAGACTTCTGAGAGACGGGTAAAGACTTCAGTCTCTCAGGTAGTTTCTTTTTTTACTGAACAATTCAGAGATGGGTCCCCCATTGAGACAGACACATTGTGGAGGAATTCACCGGCTTGAGAGCAAGCACAAATGAGGTGCACAGTGCCCCAAGCCCTTTGACACTGAAGGCTGGTCCCCGTGAAATCGATTCCCCACTCAAATCGCAGAGGAACCAGCTGACTAGTGCGGTCCTCCAGATTTATCCGAAGATGACATCACTTCTGCCACAGAAAGTTGGATGTCTCCCTTGAAATGGGCTCTGGCTATGACCAGCATTCAACTCAACAAGGAAGCCATCCATTCCCCAGTTGCACCAAATACAAAGAGGCATACATAGTGTGTAATGTATGTAATATGTGTATATATATATATATATACATATTATGTATGGAGATGTATCAGAGGTTTGTATATATATATGGTATATTATGTGTACGTGACCTATACCTGTGTATATATCTATGCATGTACATAGGTTCATTGACAAGGGCCCGTTCCCGTTCACGTCAGCGCAGAGGTGGAGTACGACCCGTCCACCCAGTCCTTGAAGGTCTCTGCCGGCGGAGGGACTTGGTCCATCTGCGCCTGGACGGATCCCTCGGCGTCCTGCTGGGTGGCGCGGAACTTTGCGCATCCCATCCCCCACCACGCGGCCCCGGGCGCCGTGGGCGTGGCGGAACTCAGCCTTCACAACAGGCGCGGACAGGGGAGGTGTGAGGGGAGAGCAAGAGCTCCTTCCGTGCACCTTTGGGCTGGGAAAAGACATCACCCTTTGGGTGGCCAATTTTGATTGAGCTTTCCGTTGATTTCAGGTTGGACATTTCAGGAACAAGGAGAGGGCTCGCAGGTTGAGAAAGTCGTCGGATCGCCAAGCTCGGACTTGTTTAGATTAAGTCGGACCCTTTGACACATCTGCCTGGGGGTCAGTGTCCCCCATCCGTCGAGGGTAATATCCCCACTACAAAGAAACAACTCACAAGTGAAACTCAACATTCCTGAAGTGTTGGCAGCACACCGTGTTGGGTTGAAGGCGCACCTTAGGAGATCGAAGCATGTGAAACTCAAACCCCAGGAGGTCGAAGGCCCCAGTGTTCCCATGGCCTGTCATATGGATGTTCCAGTCGGGTTCGTTGGACGTTTTGCTGGATACGGTCCCAAGCAGAGCCCCGGGACTTGCCCGTTTTTTTTGGGGGGGCCTGAGATGTGTTGCTTAAAAGGCGCCATGCCCTTTCCGTTTTGGTACTTGGTTCCGTTTCTGCAGATCTGAGGACCTTCGGGATTGGCTACAAGGTGCACCCCGAGGTGTTTTCCTCCTGGCCGGACCTGAGCGAGTGGAAGAACCTGGATGGCGACCTTCACACCTACGCCTCCATTTGGTCCAAGATCCGGCTCTGCCAGGCGCTCGTTTTCACGTTGCACGCAGAGGTGTGGCTCAAAATTCAAGAGCTAGGGTTACACAGGTTTTAGTCCCTGTGTCCATTTACCAAGGCGTTATTTATGTACTTTTGCTTGAGCCACAGCCACTTGTTGCTTGAAGCGCAGGGTTGCAAGCTGAACCAGGGCTCGCAATTGCATGCCGTTCCCCAAATGCAAGGAACTGAATTGTCTTCAAATCCGGTTTCGAGAACCTCCAATCCTCCGCAAACAGCTGCAACATTGGGGCCCAATTCGAAGTCACGATATTCGAATGAAACACAGACGGCTTAAGATGGGTGGACGGACGCTAGCACAACTTGGAGCTGGCCAATACAATATGTTTTTCGCATGCTGGAATACAACACCAGAACCATGTGGAGATATGTGGAGAGAGCGCCGTGCAGGGTGCGTGGGGATCCCTCGAAGTGCAGTGGTGCGTGCTCTCTGATCCCGTCATCTGGGGCGGGATGTCGGGGTGTTTCCGTTTAAGATCAATTCAAACAAGGTGCCATTTTCCCATTTAGAGGTCTGGGAATAGAAATACTTGAGAGCCAACCGATTCTCGAATCCAGGCCACCCACCTCACAGCAAGCAAAAGCGAAAGCCTGCGTGTCTCACGGTATCGATCCTCCTTTTGCTCAGGAACCGGCCCCTATATGCGGACTGATTCTAGGGTTTGCCAATCAATGGCAAGCAAGGGGAAGTAATTAGTGATTGGTCAAGGGTCACGCCCCCATTCCCTACTAGCAAGAAACGGGGGCTCGTTTCACCTCTTTTTGATGCGCCCAGTTTCTTGGCTGTATTTTGTTGGGGGCAAGGACACTTTGGATTGCCTCACTGACATTGTGACGGGATATAGGGGGATGCAAATCCCTGGATACAGCTGAGATAAGCCGTTCCAAGAGATACCCCGTGCGTCCTTTGGTCCAACCTTGGCGTCCTTGTAAACTAATTGGCCGTAGAGGACCACACTTGCACAAAAACAGGGAGCAAAAGGACCATGCCAAGGCTTTTGGGGATTCCCAGCCGCGGCCAGGTGCACGCGGCGGCCGTGTGCGAGTCGGAAAGAGCCGGGGCAAGCGTGAAGGGCTCCTGGGCTCAGAAGAACGGAAGGCGCGGGGGCTTCGAATGCGAAAGTCGAACCACAAACAGTTGCTTGGATCTGTTTGTAGGCGCTTTGCGCTGCCCACCTCGGCCAGTATGCTGTTGGCTGGCTTTGAGGTACTGTGTTTTGGCTTGCACTGAAGTGTTGTGTTTGTTTGAGTGAGTGAGTCGACACCGAAATGCATGTGCGCACGTTTTTACATGGCTTCAAGGGCTAGGTCAAGGGCCGCCGTCTGAGGCAAGGGGCCGAGAGACTGAAGTCGGCTGCCAGTGGACGAAGTTTGGTCGTGGGACGGCACTCAGTGGTCTCTTTTGGCTTCGCCATTGTTGCTGATTCGCGAGGAGAACCATGTTTCCGCGCGACTCGCGCCAATCTGAACACCAGCCCCTGCCGAACCTTGAGATCAAGCCCCCCCCCTTCCCGAGGGCTCGGGTCGCGTTGCATCTTGTCGGCTGAACAACGCCTTTCCAGGTGCTTCCATGTTTTCTTGGCTGATTGGGTTGCAAGTCTATGGGGAACTAAGAAGGCCCAATGTGGTGAACTTATGCATGGCCAAGCACCCAGGGCTCCAGCGCCCCATGGGAGGATGGTTCTTAAACTCGGTTTGCTGGGATCATCGTGAGGCCTGATAATAAACCAACAAAATACTATAAGCGTATCCTGGTACAGTGCGTTTCGGGCGCGGCCCTTATCACCCAGAAGTACGTAGTTGCGATATGCTCAACCAGTGATGGACCCTCCCAGGTAATTGGGGCACGACTGCATGGCGAACCCAGGATCCTCGATACAGAAGTTGTGAATCTGAGAGGTTGTTGAAAGGCCTCTGCCTCACAGGTGGTGCTTTACATGCACCTGCATCAAGAGCGAGCTGAGCTCTGCGTTTATCGAGGTGGCAGACATGGCGCTGATCAAGTGCATTGCCCCTCAAGGCGCCTGGCGGGAAGTCGGGGAAGTGAGGCCGTAGTCGATTCCAACGGTATTTGTATCACTCCTCGGATTGCTCCCAGCAGGGACAAACATTTTTCAACGGTTATCTTTGGGAAGGGTGACGTACACAAGCAGAAAGGCACACAGGAAGAGACGGTCCAGCTCACTTGTATTCTAGCTGTTGCTCTTTGCTTCATGTTGTGATGTCTAAGTGAGAAGTAGCCGTTTGTTTTTGTTGCTTGCTTGGCCAAAACGTTTGTTTCGCAATCGAGCTTGTCGTGGCCTTTTGGGCCACTCTTTCGAGTTTGATGCAATGACTCCAGTTCTGTCAAGCGCGTTGATCCCTCTTGCCTCAGAATTCCATGCCAAGGTAGAAGTTGGCGGCGGTTTTGCAAGCCTTCTGAAGATCGAATTCGATGAGTTTGAGCGTAATCCGTTTTAGCTCCAAGCTGTGATGACCGGTTTACTTGTCGCCACCAGTTTCATTAAGTTGTAACCGTTGCTTGTCGTTTGAAATCGTGGCGAGCTTTGATCAGGCCTCAACCTCTTTCTCGACTTCCCTTCTGAAACCGACTTACATCTGAGGCATTGTGACACTGTACGGCTTGGTGCACTCCGTTTGGAAAACTGGAGCGGAGATGATCAACCTGGAGATCCAACTTTCCGAGGCGAGAGTTGAACCATGAGCACCTGTTGAACCGAACCTCGTGCAATGATCAGGCGCTGCCCTTTGATTTTTGCCGCCCCCTTTAGATGACTGTGTACAAGAACGAGGCGTCCTTTTAATGTGTGAAGCAGCCGACCTGGCTACGACTGCCGCGCTGGCTTCCCGAGGGCTGACAAAACGCGGGAAGCCGCCATCCGAGCAACCGGAAAAAGATGGCTTGTAACCTTTAGAGCCTCCGGCTCAGTCCGCCGACAGCGTCCTCTGCCTTTTCTCCTTCTTCCTCTCTCCCTTGTCTC